TTTTCTTGCCATTTTTCTTTATTCTTTAATAGTTTTGCCAGTTCATTATTTTCTATTCTTCATATTTTATCGCCAATTATTCTGTATTCTTTATATTTTTGGTCCTATTTTTTTTCTTTTTCTTTTAATTTCAATTATTTCCGCATTTTTCTAGTTAGGCTTGCCAGTGATTTAACAACTCTTCAAACTTAAAATGTTTATTGACCGAAATAATTGAAGTTTTAAACTGTTTTAATGTGCATAAATGCTATTGTCTTACTTTGAAATACATTACTGTTCTCTGACATGTTTCTGGTGTTGCCACGTTATTACACACGACAAACAGAAGTCATGACTTGAAAGTGCTGGTTGGTCTGCAGTCATACCTACAATTTGGCAAGAATATTATCTATTTATAATGATTTGAAAAAAGCTTGAAAGTTTTAGGTAATAAGGCCGCAATAATTTGGAACATAAATATTTCTGGATGGGTCACTAGAATGCTTGCATTTTTTTCCACAAATTAACCCGTTTTTAAAGTTTACACGTATGAAACACTCACCTATGAAGGAGCATTTATAAAATGAACTAACATTGACTGACAACTTATACTCTACACCGTGTTTCAATGTTCAGAAACCAAACATCTAAGTGTAACAAATAAATGTTCATTTGCCCATAACAAAACATTTTCTTGTACCAATGACTGAAAAGAATCCGAATAAAACAAATATTTTCATGTGCCAAAAACTGGCAAGAATCTCAGTGAAACAAAAACTTTTACATGTGCAAATAACTGACAATTTCACGAGTATCTCGGTGAACAAAAAACCCACCATATTTTCATGTGCCAATAACTGACAATATTCTAAACAAAACAAAACATTGCCATGTGCCAGTAACTGACAAGCATCTTAGTGACACTCACACAAACATATTTTCATGTGCCAATGAACAACTGACAAGTATCTCAGCTAATCAAGCATTTGTATTTGCCAATAACTTTACTAGACAATATTCTGAACAAAACAAAACATTGCCATGTGCCAATAACTGACAAGCATTTCAGTGAAACAAACATATATTTGCATGCGCCAATAACTGACAATTTTCTGAATAAAACCAAAACATGTACATATGTCAATAACTGACAAGCATCTCAGTGAAACAAACACATTTGTATGTGACAATATTGCCAAAATGGCACTTTCCTTTTATTTCACCACCATGTATAAAACTAAATTGATTTTAGAATCAATCAACATTATCATTCTTTCCTCCAATTTTATGTGTATCACCTTCCAATCCAGCTATATATCTAGAGGAATTTACTTTATAAATTATATCCTAACTCGTTCGTTATGCCTGCGTCTGTAGTGATGTTTTTGATTTCAATGATTTTATTATCACAAATGGTCTTACAAACCAGGGCTCATGCTAGCAGGCGACTGGGGCGAAAAGACACACGAATGAGAAAAATGATCCCAAAAGGGAAAATCACACATTCCACACACACTTTAACAGACAGTTTGGTTAGATCTCCTTGCTTAATGTAAATATTTGCATGTAAATGCATTGTTTCAATTTATTGATTAAAGTTGCTTAACTTTGTTAAATTTATATATCTTTTTAATGCGAAACAATGAATTTCATAAACATGATAAGCAGAATAGAATTTTAATTGATATATGCTGGGACTAGTATACTTTGTTTTCCTTTTTGATATAAAAAGGTTAGCTAGATATTTCATTTGTAGTTTCTTAAAAGTGGAAAAATATAATTGTGTAACTATAAAAATCAGTGATACTGAAATAGACTGAAACAACTGTTACTTTAATTGTATACTCAGGTATGAATTGAACAATATAAAAAAATAATAATAGGATACATATAGCCCTTTATATCATAGTAAAAACCTAACATTGTAGCACCTCCAACAAACAAGCACTTCTCTTTTAAATCTCTCCACTTCTCCCTATCAGTTTTAAAAAGAGAAGTCACTTCTCCCTGTGATTCTGAAGTAGTGTGAGCCTTGTTAACACCTTTACTAAATTCTTTCAAAAATACAAAGATTTGGTTATGAAGTTTGACCGTACCTGAAAACTTATTACAATAGGATAGCACATCCTAATTCTAACGGTGATGTTGTTTATTGAGCCCGTAAATTCAGATACGATCCGGTAACACTTATTGGTCCTTTAAATAAACTTAATCTAAAAAGTTAAAAATTTAACACTGTAATAAGATCTTTGAATATTTTTTATTGGTATAAAAACTGATTTTGTTATCAATAAATTAAAACCCAACCAAATATTATTGCTGAACGCTTAGGAGCATTTACGGTCCTACATTCTGTTGATACCTATATCTTGGCATTGCACAAGATCACGTTTTTCTCCGATTGTTAATGACGTCTTTACACTAAATCTATTGGATGTTGGATGTGTACTGATAAATTTTAGTCTAAGAAACATGATTATTGTTCTAAGTTGTTATTGGCCGTTTGAACTAGTTTTCAGTTACTGTGAGTACTCTGAGATCTGTACTAGTCATTTTGGGCCCTTTGTAGCTTGCTGTTCGGTGTGAGCCAATGCTCCGTGTTGAAGACCGTACTTTGACCTATAATTGTTTACTTTTTACACATAGTGACTTGGATGGAGAGTTGTCTCATTGGCACTCATACCACATCTTCTTATTTCTATTTGCATCTTTAGCGTGTTCATGAGTTAAGCCGTTTTCAACTGATTGCTATAGTATGTTCTTATATTGTGCTGTTACACCACTGTCCCATGGTAGGGGAGGGTTGGGCACCCACAAACATGTTTAACTCTGCCACATTGTCTATATGCCTGTCCCAAGTCTGGAGTCTGTTATTCAGTTGTTGTTATTGCAGTATGCGATATTTATTTCTCGTTTGCTGTTTTGTACATAAACCAGGCCGCTGGTTTTCTCGTTTGAATTGTTTTACATTTGTCATTGCAGGGCCTTTTATAGCCTGATATGCGGTATGGGTTTTTCTCATTGTTGACAGCCACACGGTGATCTATAGCAGTTAACTTATAAGTTATATGCTCCATGGTGGATAGTTGTCTCATTTGCAATCATCTACGTTATTTTTAATAATGTAATAATGTGAGCCTACCCTAATTTGAATTCAGATTTTGTTGGGGTTTTTTTTTTTGAAATGTGTGTGGCCTTGTACATTTGTTACCATGTAGAGGCTGTTGGTAGATTTGTAGAAAAGGAGAAATCGTTGTGTGCAATGCAAGCCAAAGAAAAGGAGAAATCGTTGTGTGCACTGCAAGCCCCATCCCCCCTTTTCCCAAAGAAATCGTTTTCAAAATCTATTCAATCAAAAAATAAAACCATGAAGAAAAACATTAAGAATTTATTTTAAAAACAAGTTTTTGGGGAGAGGAATGAGCTACATGTGTAGAAATTTTGTTATCAATATTTGTGTCTAAATTATATTTTTCTTCAATAAAATGCAAACACATATGTTCTTTTTACATCACTATGATTGCAGTGGAGAAATTCAATCCTGTTGAACTTATCCAAACAAAGATTCAAATATATGTTTATTGATCATTTATATTATTTATTGCAACTAAACTGTACCAACTAGACATCATTGAGATGGAAGCCATCTCTGTGGGCCCCACTGGCCTTGAACTTTGACCTAGGAAGTTGTACAAACATTATGACACACCCTCTGGTGTTGGTTAATATACATGTCAAGTATAAAGTATGAAATTATAACGGTTCTCTAGATATAGAGTGGACACAATTTGTTACGGACGGACAGACGAACAGACAGACTGATCACTATAGGGCAACCCGTCACTAGGTGGGGCCCTAATAACCTATCAGTTATGGGCATTTGGTTAATAGATAGTCATGTGTATCAGTATATGGAGGCTCTAAAATTAAAGAGCCCGTGTTGCACAACTGGATCTTATTGCATTTTCAACAATGGCCACCCTCCAACATGGTAGACTATAATATAACTCATGTCTAAAATCTCTTTTTCATTTATCTTGTACTGCTGATAATTTTTAGTTAAGTTTCAATATATAAGAGCATTAACTTCTGTAAGGAGTCAATTGACAATTTCAACTATGTTTGATCTATTTGTAGATCTTGTCTTACTGATCATTATTCTCTCTATCATTATTCCAAATAATAGGTAAGATGGCATACAATTGTTAATATTGTTCCTTTTAAAAGAGGAATAAATACCTCACATAATGAGTCGTCTGATGATATCCCACAAGTTTGACTTATTTGTAGATCTTGTCTTGCTGGTCATTTTTTGCTATTTAAAGCTTCTCTCTATCTAATTTTATTTTCAAGATAATGCACAAATGAAAAAAAATGGTAAAATTCATCATTTAAGGGAAATAATTCCTATGAAAAGTCATTTGATTTAAATGTCAGTAAGTAGATCTCATCATTTTTGAACATTTCTGCCCCTCTCAGATTTTCTCTATCTAAAGCTGTTTTAAAGATCATTGACATAACTTCCATTTTACCCATACGTTTCTATTTTCAGCCATGTCTGTCATTCTGGTTGGTAGGCGGGATCATTGGACACAATTTATAAACCAATACCCCAATGATGGTTGTGGGCAATTGGCCCAGTAGTTTCAGAATTATTCACTAACTAAATCAAAACAAAAAGTGATTAGGGAGGATAACAAACTAGTTTGTATGCTTTGGTCGTGCCTCTTTGACACATTCCCTGTTTCCATTCTCAATTTTACATTAAGGATAGAGAACCATATTGATTGATATGATCTGGAAGACAGAGAAGTAAACACACTAAATAAGTCTTCAGAGGCGGATTTAGGGGGTGGCACAAGGTGCTGCCCCTTTATGGAGCTTCATTTATGGTTAATCCAAAATTTTTACCAGTTCCACTACAAATTTTGTCTAGTTTGGGGGCCCCATGGGGCTCCCTTTTTCAAAATCCTGTATTCTTCTCATTTAGTGTTACGTATAATTGTATAAATGAAGCAATATACTTAGCACTATATATTTTTATTTGTGATAAATAATAGCATATAAATTCTATGCTTTATAAATTCAACATCTTAGAAACATACTTAACATGAAATAACAAAAAATACAAGCATTTAAATTGTCATGCTTCACAAAATTTTATAGAAAATTATGAAAATGAATGAGCAACTAAAAATATTTAGATATGTAATTTATTTTATATCTATAATGAACAATATATATAAATATGAAAATAATGCTGTAGCTAAAAATTTTTAATCTCTCCATAAGTGGATATAGAAACTTTAATAGTCAAATTTTGAATCATTTACTTCTGAAATAAATTATCCTCCATCAGCTGGCAGTCTTGAGAAAAGGAGACATTTTTTATAAGACAAAAAAAAATATAAACAACAAATTTACAAGTTATATATATATATGTATATGTATACTGTACATACTTTTATATCTTATAAATAATTACACTATGGTAATATATTTGAATCCTTCAAAAGGAAATATATTAATTCCAAAAGAAAATAAAACAAATTAACTTACATTTGAAATAGGGAAAATTCAGTATAAAATGCGTCCTTCTTATTTAAAAAATAAGTTTAGATTTGAAATCAGTGAACTTAACTATATCCGATAACATTTAAGAAAATATGTGAGTAAGTAATAAAAAAAAATACAAAATAGTATTTTATTAAAGTTAATCTATTTATACTCACAGCTAAATCCAATAAATTACATTTTATCTTCCAAAGATGTAGTTTTCATTTGTTTAAATTTGAATTTACAATATGACATAGTAGATTTAGAGTAAGAGTCATTTTCCCATAAACAAAATAGACAATTATACTTAATTTAAGACTACTATTTATTTTCTTCTTTTACCCTTCCCTTTTGATCTGATGATACTGCCTGTATCAGTAACAGCTGTATTACTATAATGGAATGATAAGTAAAAGAGGGAAAAATATATCTAATTAAATGCATTTCAAAGAAGCCCTATAAATGTAACAAGAATTATGTGACAAAATACAATATTTTACTTAACAATACCAAATCCTTAGCAAAGCTAAGTCTTGAAACTTGTTGAATCACTAAAACCAATTTAATGAGTAATGAATGAATGTAGATTGTGAAAAGTTATTGAAAAAAACAATAAAAACATCCTTTATTGGTGAAATGAAAGAACCTGTTTGTTTGACAGATTTAAGAGGAATTTGAATTCATTCTTACAATCAACGGCAGTCAGTTTTGTTGTTAAGAGGAAACCAGACTACACAGGAACCAATATCATTGTAATTCCAAATAAACTACCTTGGGGGTTTTTAAGCAACCATAATCATGATAATAATTTAAAACATGCAGGTTTATTCAATTCATCTCTCAATGCTTATTAATCTACAGAGCAAGTATGGAACCCCTACCATCTCTAAGATATGCTGAAGTGTGATCTGTTTAATCAATTTGAATGAAATACAGATTCTGTATCTATGCTTCGCTTACAAGGATCTGACAACCCTATGCTCTATCTCCTGATTTAAAGGCCTTTCGGCATCGTTTGGATTTGTCATTATGATACAAACCTTCAAAAGTTTGAAAGCAGAATTTTCATTGGCTGATGCTATAATTACTTGAACAGAAAGTAGAACGGGTGTCTTTAGATCCTTTTAAGTAAAGCATGGACACAGGATCAGTATTTTAATCAGATTATTATTAGAATTAGGAGATGTGGTATGATTGCCAACGAGACAACTATTCACCAAAGTTCAAATGAAGTGAATGTAAGCAATTAAAGGCAACCATACGGCCCTCAACAATTAGAAAAACTTATACGGTATAGTAAGCTCTAAAAGGCCCAATATGAAAAATGTGAAACAATTCAACTGAGAAAACTAAACTAAACTAACTCTAGATTGTCTGTTTAAGTAGATATTGACCACCTGTCTGGACAAACAAAGGTCAAAAGACCTTTTATACTGGTTTCTTTACTTATCAACATTGGCATGTCATTAATTACATTTGGAAAATTTCTTTGAAAGATTTAAACAGGTTTTTCAGGCGTTTTACAACACTGAAACATTTCATTAGTCCAAGCTCCTGCAAAAACTATTTTTAAACACGTTATTTATATATCTGACGACCAGTTTGATTATTGTTACAATATCTTACAGTTATATTCCTACTTGGGAATGTTTTCACAAAAATTACAAACTTGCCATTCTGAATACCAGTGACTTGATATTCTTTACACAGATAAAACTGCCAATTGTATATCCCACTTTGATGAAAATAATTGTAGCCTTAATGTATATTTGATGGTTTAACAGATCTACAAATGATTATAATGATTTTATGGCTATAACAACCTTGGTTTTGAGCTTCATCATACAAAAGTGTACAAGTGATCATTTTGATCAGTAGCAGTTTACTTTAAATATTGATAATAAACATTGTTTATAAACAAATGTAGTGTCATTGTGATAATGCAAGACATTTCTATGATGGGTGCATAGTTCTGATTTTAAATGTGAATATTTTGATGCTTTAACTGGTCTATTTTTTATCCTAATTAATTATCTGCATTTTTTGCCCATTTTTTATCTGTTGTCATTTCACATGAAAGTGGGAAACCAAGTTAATTGTGTATACAACTATTATACAATATGCCATCATTTGACATAAAATTACTTTTTTCTGCCAAATAACCCGAATATTTTGGCTTTATTGAACAAAAATATTGGTTTTTATCTTTATCTGATCAATCATGTAATAATATAAATAGAACCATGTAGTGAAAATAAAATAATTAACTTATCTACCTACCCAGACTAGTGACAAAAAAGGCAAGCATATATTTTCTACTAGCCACAAATAAGTAAAATAACAAACTTATGACACACAATGGTTGATTTTTACATTTGAAAGGGTTCATTGTTACATAAATACTAATTCCTAAATAAATCACATTTGTACCAGAAAATATACATAGCAATATTACATACACTACATAGCATTCATTTGCACATATTTGATCACTCAATCATATTTTTTTTTTTGCCTTGAAACATCAATACATAACCTAGGAAGATGGACCATTGACATATTTAATTTGTAATTCTGTGACTATATAAATACAAAAATATGATTTCTGATTCATAAAAATCAGAAATCTGTGAGTTACAAAAATGTAAAATAAATCTAAAATATTACTGACTAAAATGGAAGCCATTCCCTCTTACTAATTATTAAGACAATAACAGCCTTCTGATTATGATTGGTACTGTTAAGAAAAAGGTACTTGGTTTGACTCTACATCATATGACACAGGTTGTCATTAAAACATTTTTTTGGAAAATTATCTAAAATAATGTTGGTCAGTGTAGTATCAAGCTGTGCAATTAAATTTTGTTCCATAGGGAACTTGAAGAATGTGTGACATAGTTAAATTTTTATTCAACTAGATGCCAATGCAATTTTGAGAGAATGTAGAGAATGTAAAGGGGAAGTAATCCATAAAATTCACTGGTTTACCTTTTGAATAAAAAAAGAACATATTTATGTTTAATAGTTGTATGTATTACAAACTAGATAGGTTATATGATGGAAAAGAAGGGATATGGTGTATCAATTCATTGACATGTTCAATATGGTATCTGTTTTACTGTAAAATTACAAATGTAACATTGGCTTTTTATGTTCAGTTATTGTCAATGGTCCATATTCCTTGATATTACAATTTTTATCAATATATTATAATTTGTATGAATGGAATAAGAGAAACAGATCTTAGAAAGTCCCCATATAGGGCATGGTCCCAGTGAACTGGGCGATGTTATTACAACCTAAACAATAGTAAGAATGTAAATAGGTTCAGCTTCCCTTGCTGTCTGGTTTTATATTCATCACTTTACACACCCAGCTGCCAATATCAACCTCCATTTCCTCTGATTTCTTAACAAAAGGATGTACCTAGAAAATATGTATACATTAATATCAGATATTCAATCTTTTGTCAACAGATAGAGTAAATAAAGTAAGTAAGCAAATAGTTTATTATAATGTCACAATCTAATATACATTAGATGTACCTGTAAAATAAAATTTTCAAAAACTTAAAACAATGCTTGAAGGAATGTTTCAATATTGAAATATTAAATAAGAATAACAGTGCATCTTAAAATGCCTCAAACTAGCTGGTTAACATTTTTTTTTATCCTACATGAAATGTAGTTCTTAGCAAAATAGTCCTTGCAATGAAATCAATTACATTGGCAACTTAATTGTAATGTATTTAATCAAATTTAAAAATAAATGGAGAATGTGTCCATGGAACATAGATGATGCCCCCATTTGCATATAATGTTATAAAGGAACATAACTAAAGAACTGTAAAAGTGACGCCACCCAAATTTGAACTTGATCTGTGTTGTATGGTAATAAGCATTGTTTATAAGTTTCATAACATTTGGTTGAGGTAAACTGAAGTTAGAGAACGAAAACCAATTTTGGGACGTACAGACTATGGACTGACGTATGGACAAGTGTTAAACTTAATGCCCCACCGCTACTGCGAGGGTATAAAAAATGGTGTTATTGTAATGGTAATTTAACTGAAAAATCAGTATGTAATTGAAATGTAATTAATTAATTTGAATTTAATTGACCCTGGGTCTTCTAATGCTTAGGTTCTGAAATACAGACTTGACTTTGAAAACTTAACCTTGATCACTGATCCATGAATTGAGGCTGAGGTCAAGTGAACCCTGTCTGATGGACATGTATACCATGCAAGGATCCCATATACCAAAATAGTTATCCCATAACTCATAATAAGTTAGAAATTCACATGACAAAAAAACTATACGTTTTTTTAAGCAGTCCAAAACCTTTAAAAATAAATGTCAGACGGAAACACCTGTTTAAAAGAGAGGAGAAAGACACAAAAGGGAAATTCAAACTCATAAGTTAAATACAAAGTGACGATGCCATAGTGAAAACCAAAACGACCAAAAGACAAACAACAGTATACAAAGCACAACATTGAAAAACTCAAGACTGAGCAACATGAACTCCACCATGATCTCATGTGCTCCAAAAGGGTAAGCAGATCCTGCTCCACATGTGGCACCCATCCTGTTGCTAGTGTAAATAAACTGTTATCACAGAGATATGTCTCGCCTTTTTGTAATTTTGATAATGCAAATGTTGAAACTAAAATAGCAATACTTTAACATGTAAGTTATGCAAATATTCAAAGTCGATGAACCATGACTGAAGGTACATGGCTAAACAATCTCCATGGAATGAGATGTGCCAATGCTAATACAACTGCATACCAAATACCATTGACTTATTATAAGTCGTTCCCTTTAAACAAACATAAACACAAACATTAACTTGTAAACTATGTAAAAGTTTCAAAGTCAATGAACCATGATAAGGGGTGGGGCTATATAATCTCCATGGAAACGATACTTGCAAATGCAAATATCATTGACTTAACATTAGCAGTTCATCTTAAACTGATCTAATCACAAACTAATACATGTAAACTAAGCAAAGTTTCAAAGTCAATAGACCATGACTGAGGGGGCGGGGCCAAATAGTCTCCATGGAAATGAGATGTGCTAATGCTTATACAACTGCATACCAAATATCATTGGCCTACCACTAATGGTTCCCCTTGAACTGACCTAATCACAAACTAATACATGTTAACTAAGCAAATTTTCAAAGTCTATAGACCATGACTAAGGGGGTGAAGCCAAATAATCTCCATGGAAATGAGATATGCCAATGCTTATACAACTGCATACCAAATATCATTGACCTACCAGTAGTGGTTCCCCATAAATTGACCTAATCACAAACTAATACATGTAAACTATGAAAAGTTTCAAAGTCAATAGACCTTGACTGAGGGGGCGGGGCCAAATAATCTCCATGGTAATGAGTTGTGCTATTGCTAACACAACTGCATACCAAATATCATTGACCTACCACTAGTGGTTCACCATGAACTAGACCTAATCACAAACTAATACAAGGCGTCAAGGCGAGACAAAAAAAAAACCTGTTGCCAAGTTTAAATTGGTAGTGAAAAAGAGGACGGGGTTGTGGGGTTGTTGCTATGACAATTGGAAAATTATCATTGTCATCTGTGAAACCAACCAACTCATAATGGTGTCAGCAAATTTTTCAAAGGATGATTTCAACTTTACCATTTGGAACTCTTGGTTAAAAAGCTTCCTTGTACACAGCAACCTTCTTATAAGGATATTTTAATAGAAAATGCAAGCTCTGGAATATAAACTGGGAGATATATACTCCATATGCAGGAGCTGCTGGAATGTTGCTACATAAAAATGAAAAGTTTTGTTCTCAACCTTCCCTCAGTGTCAATTACTACATTTCAAGATATAAGTAAAAAGCATCCAGGTCTTAGTTTCTATCCAATAAAATAAAAAGCTTTATACAAATAATTTACACTGTCACCAGATTGCAATCTTTTTGTTTCTACAAAATTGAGTCAATTTAATTTAATCTCTTCAAATAAACTAAATAATATAATAAAATAAAATGCTCCGCTGGGCGCAGCTTGATAAGATCGCAGAGGTCTAACCCTGAACAGTTGGGGCAAGTATGGACACAACATTCAAGCTTGATACAGCACTGAATTTGGACTGTGATTAAATATTTGACACAGCATAGGTTTCTGACACAGAATGAATGTGGTCTAACAACTTAAAAATTTTTAGTTTACCTATTCAAACCATATCATTATTATTTGCTTTTATATATAAATCAGAAATAACCAATTTAAAATGGAAAATTTTAAAGAACCCCCCCCCCCCCCCCCCCAATATTTGAACCCCCTTATGATTGATCACCCCAAAACTCAATCCCAGCCTTCCCTTTGTGGTATGGTACCTTGCAATACAATTTCAGAGAGATCCATACACTTGAACACAAGTTATTGTCTGGAAATTAGAAAAATGCTTCTTTTTGGCCGCTTTTTGGCCCCAAATTCCTAAACGTTTAGGGCAATTACCCCCAAACTCAAACCCAGCTTTCCCTTTGAGATATGGAACCTTGTAGTACAATTTCATAAAGATCCATACACTTACACACAAGTTATTGTCCTGAAACTAGAAAACGCTGGGTTTTTTTCCACTTTTTGGCCCCTAATTCCTAAAATTTGGAGGCAATTACCCCCAACATCAATCCCAGCCTTCTTTTTGTGGTATGGTACCTTGCAGTACAATTTCAGAGAGATCCATACACTTGAACACAAGTTATTGTCTGGAAACTAGAAAAATGCTTATTTTTGCCCCCTTTTTGGCCTCTTATTCCTAAACGGTTCGGGCAATTACCCCCAAACTCAATTCCAGCTTTTCCTTTGTGATATGGATCCTTGAAGTACAATTTCAGAAAGATCCATACACCTACACACAAGTTATTGTCATGAATCTAGACAAATGCTTGTTTTTTGCCCCTTTTTTGGCCCCTAATTCCTAAAATTTTGAGGCAATTACCCCCAAAATCAATCCCAGCATTCCCTTTGTGATATGGAACCTTTTGGTACAATGTCAGAGAGATCCATACACTAACACACAAGTTATGTCTGGAAGTTACAAAAATGCTTATTTTTGGCCCCTAATTCCTTAACTGTTGGTACCATAACCCCCAAAATCAATCCCAATCTTCCTTTTGTGGTATTGAACCTTATGGTAAAATTTCATAGAGATCCATTCACTTAAACTAAAGTTATAGTGCGATAACCAATGTGTCTTCGGACGACGACGACGACGCCATTGTCATACCAATATACGACCGCAAATTTTTTTTGCGGTCGTATAAAAATTGTTGTCATAATCTTATCTGAATTTGTCTAATAATAGTCTGAGTTTGTTATAGGCAGAGTCTGTTATAAACTGAGATTGCTAAAGGCCAAGTCACCAAGGAGTTGTGGAAATATAAGGCATAAAATTCAAAATCGATGGTAACTATGGAAAGGACAACTAGAAATCATTTTTTTTCTCAGAAATATTTTCCAACTCATCCAAAATGAATAATCATTATGAAGGATAACTACAGTTTGAATACTTCCTTTAAGGAAGAGAGCCATATTGATTGATCTGATCTAGAAGACAGAGGTGCAACACATAAAAACAGGTCTCCTCATTTAGTATTATAGATTTTTCCTGTTTTGTTGAAACTTAAATCTCTGAATGATGAATTTATGAGACCAATATAAAAATCCATGCTTTTAAAACAGTTTTTGAGGTATGCAAAAATAAGAGAGAGTAAGATTTTTCTACATAAAGAATAAAAAAGCCATTGGGCCATGAAAACTTACCATTAATGAAGCTAAATCTGCCCTATCTGATGGGTTCTTCTTTAAACTGAAATAAAAGTAAGATTTTGATATACTCACTTATCGTTTTTTTTTTATTGTAGTTCACTTAAAATGCTTATCTAAAACAGTTTTTTAAATACTATGAATAAGGTAACAGTTAAAAATCATTATGCTGGTTTTCAGCTTAATAACAAACAAAATTTTCTCTTACAACTGCTAAAGATTTGTCTTTGATCCACAGAATTAACTCGGTAACCTGTACTATAATCAAATTGTTGCTAAATAACAAAATGGTTTTTTTTTAATAATTTTAAATGACCCTTCTTTGTAGCCTCTTGGTAAAGGTCAAAGGACTTACAGTGGGTGGTGGTGCAAATTCCTACCAAACTTTGCCATTATTCAACTAGAGACTCTAAAGAGAACCTGTGTCCCTCACCTTGATCTATGTGCCTATTCAACATTTAAGACTAGAATGTTATTCACAAGATCTTATTTTTGTTGATCTTGTCTTGCTCTAAACAGTTTATCTTTATCTACTATAATATTGGTTAATGGTAATAATTGTCATTTTGGTGGAATCATCCTTATAGAGTCGACCAACAATTTCAGACATACCAACAGATAGTTGTTCTTCCTGCTCATCATTTTTCCTTATTTAGTGTTTCTTTATTTATTAAGTTTTTCTCTTTTATAATTTCCTAGATAATAGGCAAATTTGAAAAAAAAACTATTAAAAATCGTCTTGACAGTTTTGGTGCAAATGGACAGTAGGTAGATATCACTATTTTGAACATTTCTGCCCATAGAAAGAATGTTTTCTAAATTTCTGGATCCTTCCCTAAAATTTTATAATCTGTTTTAATATCATTGAATGATATCAAACTCATTACTTACCACTTATCTACAAAATCTATGGCTTCATCAGAAAACTTTCCTTTTGGCAATGAAGGAGGTGGCTGTAAAGACAATAAATATATTGTTATCTATACTAAGACATACTATTATATATGTTAACAAAGTATACCCCTGCTATAACTTTTCACTGAAATAAATGTCAAACAGTATAAATCTCTACTTGAATGCAGGAAAATAAAAACAAAGGTTGTCCAATTTAGACAAGTTCTCCAGATGATATACATGTATTTGTTTTAGATGTTTAACTTCTACTGTAAAATTCTACTTAGAAATTTAAAACTCCAATGGCACAAACACACATAACATTTAAGCAATACATGTAGCATTTCATAATTCATTTCAAAGACAGAAAGGCAAATAATGGGTTGAGGTTAAAATCAAAACTTAAATAATAAAAAAATATGTGCAGTGAAATTTTCTGATGGATTTGGAAAAGTAGTGAGAAATGAAATAAGGTGATCTATGATAAAGTTATCTCCTTCTTTTATTTAGTTATCATGGTTATTGGCTATTATCACAATGAATCATTGTTAAAACAAGAACTAGATAGATTTTTAATCAGGGTTCTTGTTATGAGGGCACACTTAGCATCAAATATTTATTCATCAGATCAAAACAATTTTGTCTTGAAACAATGGACTTACAATTTGGGACCAAACAAGACCTTATTTCACCTAGCCTTTTAATAAGAAACGTAACTTCATTTTTAAGTATTCAGATTAAAAGGTACACATGGACTCAAAAGGTACTCCAAATTCATTGTGGTAAAATAAATATAACAAATATAAATGAAACTTTCTATTAACCATTAAATTTTGTAATCTACCACCAATAGTATTTCCTGATCCAAAATAAAGAATTGGGATGCTCTTTACATTAATACAAGCAACTTATATGTGTATTATAATTCTTACAATAAAGTACCTTTTATACTGCATTTCTTCTTTTTTGGGACAATTTCTCTATCATTAACATTAACTCCTATAGTTATACATTTTTCACATTTACATAGTTTTAGGAAAATTTTTCACTTTCCACTTAATTTCATCATTACTTTTTCACTTGAAAAAAACTGACACACCTTTCAAACTAAAATTGATATTCATGAGTATATGTACCATAAGCTTTCATTTTTAATAATTACAGGAATATAGAAGAGAGTCATTATACCTTTTTAGTTATTTTCTAAGATTATATCAGTTCCATATTTTGTACTATGTAATATGTGACAACCATTACTATATCAAATTATACATACAACAAAATATTTAGAATTAAACACAAATGGGAGAACAAATAAAATAAAAAAAACTATGATTAGAAAGACTAAATACGGTAACATTGAATTGTGAAAGAATTTCAGAAAAAATACAAATACAAAATAAGAAGAGTTAGAATGAGACAGCTGTCTATCAATGACCAAAAGAAAAGGATGCCAAAACTACAGATAATTGTACAGCCTTCAACAATGAGCAAACCCATACATATAGTGGGCTATAGAGGGCCCCAAGATGATGAAATGTGAAATCCAAACAATCAGATTTATACTAAAACAAGCATTCTGAGAGTATTGCATAGCAATACATAGTCCCCTACCCGTTAAGAATTCATTGTACTGGAACAAAATGCTAACTTGATCTATAACTTGTCATGGTGTAAACTATATCACAAATATCAAGTCAATATCTTCAAACATGACGAAAAAAGTGTGCAAAACTGATTATTTGAGTGAATTTTCAAAGTGCAAGGACCATAATTCTGCACAAAATTATCAGACCAGAACAAAATTCGAACTTGATCTGTAACTTGTCATGATAAAACTATATTACAATCATTACTGGTAAATCAATATCTTCAAGCATGACAAAAAAAAGTGCGGAAAACTGTTTATTTGAGTGAATTTTCTAAGTTCAAGGACCATAACTCTGCACAAAATCATCAGACCGGAACAAAATTCGAACTTGATCTATAACTTGTCATGATAAAACTATATACCAATCATTAAATCAATATCTTCAAGCATGACCAAAAAAAAAAGCGGAAAACTGATTATTTGAGTGAATTTTCTAAGTCCAAGGACCATAACTCTGCACAAAATCATCAGACTGGAACATAATTCGAACTTGATCTGTAACTTGTCATGATAAAACTATATACCAAATTTCAAATCAATATCTTCATGCACGAAGACAAAAAGTGTGGAAAACTGATTTTCCGGACTGACGGATGGACAGACAGACAGATTACAGTGATTTTCCTGGTGCTTAGGGGAAGGGGCCAAGGTCCCATGCAATTGGGAATAAAAGTTCGTGAAATGTCGGCTTTGGGGAAAATATATCAGTCCGTTTATACGAAGGGGGGTTTAGGGACATGCCTTCCAAGAAAATTTTGAAAAAATTAGGTGCAAAATCCTGCATTCTGAGAAGGAATAACTGCATGAATTGCAAACAAGATTCAAGAGATTTGTAAACAAAAACCATGATATGACACCAACAAAATCTAGCGACGATGTCTATATACAATTGGGAATTTTATTGCTGAAAATTGGGAAAAAAAAGGGCATTTTTCTCTTTGGGATTGGGGCCCAAATTCAGACCCAAAATGAGGGTTGGATAAGACAGACAGACAGACGGACGGACGGAGTGCAAACCTAAAGTCCCCTTCGACTTGGTCGGTAGGGGACTAATAAAAGACAAACAATTATGACAGATAGCTATCAATGACAACCACTTGATAACAGGCTCATGCCAGTCATGGCTGTCAGTTTATCTGATATTGTCAGAATTTATTTGTACGATACTTTCTAGTTTTTAGGGAAGCTAACTAGATTAAATTTCAATTCCATCAATTCAGCCGTTTCACAATTGTTATGCATCACCACAATATTCCAAAGAACTTGAATAATTGTCACTCTATGACAATGTGCTGTTCAGATGCCTAAGATGTTCGTACTTGACTTTAATTCAGCAATAATGTAATTTGATATTTCTTTACCTGCGACCTAGGGAAATGATTATCTCATAAAATTTAACCCTGAGTGGACATGAATTGGAAGTTGTTCTTATCTGTTATATAGTTTTACTAATATTTGAATGTTATAAGATATTAAGTAAATAAGAATAAAACGTAACAATAAATTCAGAAAGGCTCATCCATTTTATTTGGGAAGTGTGACTTTTTAGATTACCTGATGTTAACTACAACTATCACTTACCTTTTTGTAACCAAGTTCTGCTTTACCATTATTATTATTCACAACTTCAGTGAAGCAATAGCAACATATACATAGTATTAAAACAAGATCTAATAGATCTACTTATAAGAGGTATGTTAGGAGCATGTATGACCTTGAGAATTTATAATCTTGACCTCTGTTTCCACATAATGCCAAATATATAAAGCAAAGTATATAGAGCTGCTTTATAAAAATTTATCAGTACAAATAAGGTTCTGACAGAGAAAAGTACAAAACAACCTTTCAATAGAATCAAGACAGACATGACAGCAAAAGTTAATGGCAAAAATCTTTCTATATAAAAATAAAAAGATATGGTATGTGACAACTATTCACCGAAGAGAAAAAGACGAGGGGTTGGAACAACTACAGGTAATCACATGGCTTTCAAAACTGAGCTATATAACAGCCTAAAATACAAAGTTTGAATTAATTCAAAAGAGAACCAACAGCCTAAATTAAGCTAACAACATTGAAAGAAAAACAAATCAGCAATCTTTTAAAACACTTTGCAATATTCTTGTCCAAAATTATTACGTAATTCTATATTCTGCATTTCATTTTATTCCCCTTTTCTCCTACATTGTTCAGACTAGAAAGTTAAGGACCAAGTAGATGAAAGCCTAGAAATGAATAAGATTCAATGAGACTGAAAGATTGCCACCTAAATATTCAGTCATTTAAACACCATCTTCTGAAAAATAATTTTAAGGTACTACAAAACTGTCAATTTCTCCATTAGGCCAAGTAAATTTAATTAGTAGATTTTCATCCAAATTTTTGAAAAAAATGGGGTGGGTGGGAGGATTTTATTTTTTATTTTTTATTAGATATGAAACGCTCTTGTGACGTGTTCTTCATATATGCAAGTGTAATAATAAGGTTCTATCATGTATATACATGTATAACGAATCAAACATACAAAGAAATGCAAAAACCAAAATTTGAAACAGGATGTTATTAATGAAACGAAATTATCGACAGTTACCGGTAACGAAAATGAACAAAATCCGGAAATCGTAAATTTTTCAAAATAAAAAAAATTGGGGCGGAACGATTTCAGAGAGGCGGGCGGGGATGAAAATCTATCAATTAATTTTAATTGGCCTTATGTTTCCAAATTTCTCTCGCACTGTTTATTTCTTTACTCTGAGCTTCTGTTTTGGTATGATCCAGAAAACTGGATATAGTGAAAGTAACTGTTGATTGGTCATCCATTCATATCTGTAGATAAAACATTTTAGGAAAGGTTTTACTAACTAAAAGGGGAACTATCATCAAATGAATTCCGAAATGTAAAACAAAATATAAAGTTCTATGGTTGCATGTTGACAAAAAATGAATTCAAGCGACATAACTAAAATGAAAACAGAGGCCAAAGCAACATGAACATAATTACACCTTGTTAGCACTAGTCCGCTGCTACTCTACCACTGCGTTTACTGTTTACCGTTAGTCTTAACATACCTCATTTACTATGTATTCTAAAAGCTCAAATATGGCCATTGGCCGAGGCCCATCACTGCCAGGCGGTGTGGGGAAGTTAAAACTATTTCGGTTTGTTCCTAAAATGCATAGAATGAAAAACACAAAAATAAAACAAAAATAAGAACATGTATGATAACAAAAAACTGTTTACTAAAAGCAGATAGTTATTAGTAGATTGTAAAGCAAACATCCAATCATCAAAGCGCCATAAACACTGATTTCAATATAGACGATGCAAAGAGTTATCTCCCCTGAAAGAAACAACAAGATAGTGCATGCTGGGATCAGATTGGGTAAATAATAATTAAAAAAATTGGTGCAATTTAGTTATGAAGATTTTTTAACTGATAATAACAATTACATCCAAATTTTCAAAATGTTTTGGTCAAATAAAAATTGTTCAATTTTATATTGAAGTCTTTGACCCCAGCATTAAATATAAACAACCTGGAAATAATCTTTAAAAATAAATTATACAAATGAATTTACAATATGTAGACATAAAATAAAATGTACTCATTAAACTAAATCTTAAATCTCTGCTGTGAAAAAAATGAAATGCATGGTATCTAAGAATGTAGCTTTGTATTTTCTGTTGTTTTAATTAAAAATGATTTTTCTTGTCCTTGAAATTTTAACTTAATATTCCTACATGAAAATTTTCTTTTTGGATTATTTAAAAAAATATTTACCTATTAAAAAAATCACAAATTTGAAAAAAGTATTTAAAAAAAATGAGTTAAAATATGTTGAGGCAACTGACGGTTTTCAAAAACAGTAAAAAGGATGTCAATGTTTTTATTTTTACAAATTTGAAATTAACATTTAAATTTAACCATACATCCATAATCATAATAATAAATAAGGTGATTCTGCAAATAAAACAAATAATATAATAAATAAACAAAATAACCAGCAACAATTAAAAGAATAAATGTAAGAAATAAACCATAAATATATATATTGAATAAATATAAAGGTAATGTAATATTTGAACTCAGAGGCAAAAACTTAATTCAAGGTGATAAATAAAACTTAATTCAACCAAATAGTTATGAAAATTATTAAAAGAATATATCAACTCTAAATTCAGGCAAAAATTTTCATTAATTAATAAATTAAAAATAAGAGTTAAAAAATCTGACATTTTTACCTCTGTGAACACAAACAAAATGGCCAACATATATAATTGGATGTTAAACAAGGGAGATAACTCACACAGCCTGTGGACATGTTTACCTCATTTACAATATATTCTAGTAGTTCAAATATTGCCATAGGTAATGGACCTTCACCTGTTACGACCTGAAAATCTCCTGGACAAGCTGAAAGTCACCATAATGTTACACCATAATTAATATACTTATAAGTTTTATCCATACTTATTATTCTTAAAATTATTTTTCACTGTAATACCCGGTACATTAAATTTTCTTTTTCCAAGTTACAGTGTTAACTCACAGTAATTAAAATACTAAAACCATATTCATGTAAACTGTTGACAGAGATATGTCTCCCCTGTGTGAAACAAAACCATAAAAAGTGTTGAGATATATGTAGCTTAAAAAAAAAAATCACCCATTTCACAAATTTTAACAGCATTCAATTTATCCAGTGATGCAAGGGCTCTTCTTAAAGTATAGCATCAGGAAGCCCCAAGTCTGTAATATTTCAATCATGATAATATGACATCAATTAATTTACATTTCTATTTACAAAATTGGTTTAACCTGGATCTTAAAATTTCAGAAATAAGATGGAAATGGAATGTTTTTGCTAGGATGCCTTCCAAACTTCTAATATGTTATGGACACTAGGGGTGATAAAATTTATTAGATTTTCATCCAGAATTTTGAAAAAAATGGGGCTGGTGGGAGGATTTTATTTTTTAATTTTTATTTCCTCCTAAACCCTTTGTTCATATACAAGGGTAATGATAAGCTTATGCAATGTATGTATAAGGAATTCTACATTATTTTTACATGTAATTGCCGCTTTAGAGAATGTGGAGAAATGTTCTCTTTTAGATCAAATTTATTTTGCTTTCTAAGCTATGATTTGTAGTGCCAATAAAATGAAGCATATGCATTGGTATGCAACACAAATATTATGAGTACAGAGTGAACTGAAAACTCAAACTGTGTTGAAAATACTAGGGTTGCTGCTTTAAAGATTTCTTTTGCAAGGTGCAAATATAGTTCCTATATAAAACATGAAATGAACCAAAAAGAAGTTTTTTAATGACTCTATTGAGGGGCTGGGGACAGAGGGTCAGTGTTTGCTGTTTGTCAACAAAAACGACAGCCTTTGGGTAAATCTAAGGGCTTGCTATAATACATTTCTTCTTCCAAATACTCCCACATTCAACATGATGAATATTCTGGCAAATGACTTTTTGTACGTTGGCCGTCTTTGTACCCAATATATGGTCATAAATCGCACAAATTTGTGGTGTGTCAGTTAATTTATTCCTGTCATGTTTATGTACCAACATGTTCCACAATTCTTGCGCTCAGGTGGATATCATTCACAGTCCAAATTTCCCAACACAAAGTCAATGTATAAATAAAAAAATCCACGGTTTTCTAATCACAGAAATTTGTGACATACTGCAATTAGCATTTTTTGGACACCGCCAATTACTCGTAACCCGAATATTTCATGGCCTTCTAGTAATCAATCTATATTATTAGAAAATAATGTTGCCATCATTGAGCTGAAGAATATGTCGACTTATATTACTTGAAGAAATACGAAAACCTAAACTTTAAAATTAAAAGAAATTATCAGCTGTTAACAGTAACGGAAATGAACAAAATCTTGAAATCGTAAATTTTTAAAATAAAAAAAATGGAGCGGGACGATTTCAGAGGGGCGGGCGGGGATGAAAATCTATCAATTAATTTTAATTGGCCCTATATGCATGAAACTATACATAGTGCATAACTTAACTGCCTGAAGTAAGTCACTAGCACATGTATAATAACAGTGTCAACAATTTCTCAGGAAATCCAAACACGCCATTTGAGCAGTTTTCAGGAAATCCAATCTTGTGCTTCATAATTTTAAGAATCATTGTTTAACCATTAAGCATTGTATTTTTTTCAGCTACCAAACATTAACAGTTCCAAGAAAAAATTACCAACAATGTGAGTGAAAGTAGTATATTTTATTGTAAAAGTATTAATGTTTTGAAATAGCAGTTATTTATAACTTAATGAAATCTGATAATGACCTTGTACTGTGAACTTGCAGACATTAATTCCTTTCACGATTCAAAGTTTTGATCTCTGTGAGACCTACCTGTTAATGGTTTTCCTGTTTTTGTTGCCTCTAAATGTTCCTCCATGGCTTTATCACCAAATATACTAGCCAGGTCCTTAGAATCTGGGGGTGGGATAGGGTAACGCCCTATGGCCATTTCTACTATTGACAAACCCATACTCCAAATATCAGATTGTACTGAGTAATGTGTGCCTTGTAATCTCTCTGGCTGTTAAAATAAATTGTCATAGTTTCTGTAAAACAGCTCTTAGAATATTCAATTTCTTTATTTTGGAATAGAGTAAGAATAAATTGTTTTGAGAAAAGCATTCAATTGCCTGATAGTCAGAGCAGCCATTGTGAATACTTAATAGTATGCTTTTAACCAGTCAATCAATAGTATGTTCATGTTCCTTGGCACATCATAGAGCAATTATCTGCATCATCAAAGTTATTTATAAAAAAAAATTTGCAGTACAATCAAGAGATAAAATTTAACTGTTGTCAACTACTACTAAAAAATGTCTAATGAAGCGTTTTAAACATTTGATAATTTTTCTTCCATTTCATGCTATAGTTCAAATAATGGATATTTGCAAATTATTATTATACTGGTTTAGTTAAAAATTGCGGTGCTTTGCTTTTGCATCAATTGGCATTTCATTTTGCTCAAAAAAATCTTTCATTTGCACCAAAGTAATACATTTCATTTGCGCAAATAAAAAAGGTAAATAGTATATATAATATATCTATATTGAAAAGGGATTTATAGTAATAATGTTACAACTTAGTTTTGATAGTATAATATAACATATTCATCATTAATCACAATTATTAATAAACCTGTCACCATATTGAAAACATTAAACGCTGATTATTTTTTTTGAATGCTGAGATATTGTACTTTTTTCTGGTCTAAACCATGGTTTACTGTATCATTCAATGTTTATATAATGGTTTTGCTGTCCACATCAGAACCCAGTTGTTCATCTCTTGGTTAAATTTTAACCAAGGGTTAAATATCATAACCCTTGGTTAAAATCTAACCCTAGGTTATTTTCTGTTGTTCATCCTGTGGTTAAATTTATCCCTTTGTTAAATCCTTAGTTAAATGATTCAGATTTAACCTTGCTTCGGACCTCTGTTAAAATTTTAACTGAGGAATAGTTTTGTGTAAAAGTACCATTCCCTGTTTATTACTAGATTGGGAAGGTCACTAAACGTTTGATACAACATATTCTTCGTTTTTTTACGACCATTAGTAATCAAAAACTGATTATTACATTTTACAGTCCTTCCCACTTTTTGCATCAAGGTTTACCTCTAAATACCAGACATTTTCAATAACTATTTGGTTGAATTAACTATTTTTTCACCCTATCATCTTCTATGTTAAAAAACAAATTGGAGCAGCAAAATCATTATCTTTTAGCAAGATAAATAAATCATAATGTATTTATCTATAATCAAATAATTTAATGTCAAAGCTTTCGATCTTTTCAAACAAAAGGTGATCTCTGTCACGTCAGTGTTGTTGTTGTTCTATTTAATGAACTTAAACGCTGAAAAGCATATGGTTTTTAATGAGAAATCATATTTATTGACCAAACAGTTTTCTAGGACAGAAGAAAAGTGTTCATAATTCTTATTTTAATAAAAATGAACATTCACTGAAAATTTAACCATGGGTTACGTAACCAAGGGTTAAAAAGAAGTTGAACAACGGAATTTTAACCCTTGGTTACCTAACCCTCAGTTAAAAGTTTTAACCCTGGGTTATAGTTAACCAAGAGTTATATTTAAACTTAAAAAATTATACATATTTCCTCCTCTATTTGCCTCCAAAGGAATTATGCCCATTTTGTCACCTCAAACATGTGAACACTTATACAATTTTATACCTTTATTTAAGTGTATCTCAGTTTTGTATTAGAAATGATCATGAATTAACTTATTTATCCATTGTGGAGTGGGTGGTGTGATACTTTACAACATTTTTAATACAAGCCTAGTTCTCATGTTACAACTTACATGTAAATGTTTCTATTTTGATTGTACATTGGTGCAAAAGCAGTATTCATTTTTGGAACAAATGAAATACTACATTTTTCACAACTTGGCGCAAATGCAATGCGCCCAAAATTGATCATTGTAAAAATTACAATAACATACAGAAAATTAAATACTTTAACTTATGGTCACAGAAACTTGGTCATATGTAAAATAAATTTATAATAGCAAACAAAGATGGGATATAATAATATTTTGCCACTAAAGAGCAAAATTGTCAGCAATGTTATTGTGGTAGTTTTTACAATTTTTTCTTTGATTAACTTTGATATACACAAAAGTGAAAAATTGTATTTAAGAAAAGCATGAACAAATTTTCATTGATATCCTTGATTTATGAAACTTTATCATTTTCAAATTTGAAGGGAAGAAAGGGAGGCCATGTCAATTCTTCTATTGACGCAACAAACTTAAGGCAATAGCAGTGAATATTACCACTTACAGACATATAAGATCTTGTTCCTACAAATGAATTAGCCATGGAATCTATCAACTGCCCACTGACACCAAAATCACAAATCTTTATTTCTCCTCTGGAATTAACTAGAATATTAGATGGTTTAACATCTGGAATAGAAAGTAAAAGCAAGAAATATCACTACTGATTTCTATCATAATGTATTTATAGCAATATCAAATTTTTTATCCAATTTTTTTCCTAAAACTAAACACATTCAGTGGTTGTCATTTCTTACTGTATATTTGTTTTTCATTTGTTTTTGTACATAAATCAGACCTTTATTTTTTCTCGTTTAAACTGTTTTACATTTTTCATTTCGGGGCCTTTTATAGCTTATGGTTTTGCTCATTGTTGAAGGCCGTACAGTTACCTATAGTTATTACTTCAACATCATTTGGTCTCTGGTGGAGAGTCATCTCATAGGCAATCATACCACATCTTATTTTTATATTAACATATATGAATGTGTTTTGTTTTCCTTGTTAAAAATAGGATGACTGCATTCAATCTGTGATTTAAGATAATGAAACCAGTTTGATACAGTGATTTAGCCTTTTCATACCGATGCCCACATCTGGAAATCATTGTTGCTAGAGGATCATGAAAGATTAAATTAATACTCATCTAGAATTTGAAAATAAAAATAAAAGTCATACCTCTATGCATGATTTGATGCTTTTCTCTAAGATATGTTAAACCTTTTAAAACCTGAAAGCAAAGAATTGTAAAAAAAAGTGATTAGAGAAACTGATTCTTTTATTTTTTGTTCAGTATTTTGTCAACTGTTCACTTATTTGAATATTTTGGCTAATGTCTTTATATTCATTTTTTCTCTGTATCTAATTTTTTGTCTTTTGTCTAATTCATCTATGTTTTATGCCCTTGTTTAATGTTACCTTTGCTTATCTTTCTGGATTAATCAAAAGAAGAAAACAAAGCTGTTTTTCAGACTTCAACTGTTATAATGTTTTGTGTTATGCGATGAGTGTAATGTTTATATATACTTCTCATGACCTGTGTACATTTTTATAACTGATATACAGATATACAGACACTTTTATTTCACAGATAACATAGAAAATCTGTGAGTTATCCAAGGACTATGTGTGTTGCCTGCCATCTCAAAAATAATATAAGTAAAAAAGGCTAGGTCGTGTCTTGGTATGAGAAACTTTCTGATCAAAATTATAAATAGCAAGTGTAGAATTTCCATGTCCTATTGAAAAAATCTGTGCATGTTGGGCTGATTTCTGCCAAGCCATTTTCAAAGTGTTGTGGATGAATAAATTGGTATAAGCAGAAAATGTTCTTGTTTTGGTATAGGAAATCCCCAAAATCATTCAGTAAAATCAATAAAAGGGCAAATGCACAATTACATGATTAGAAAATCAGTTAAAGTTTAATTGAATTCTGTCAAATAGTTGAAGATCAAGAAAGTGTAACAAAGACAATGCAGACAACATGAAAAAAAAAACACAATACAACAGAAGTGATCCATATGTGTCTGTAGCCACAGCTGGACAACTTCAGTGGACAAATAAAAGTTAGTGGATTTTTAAGTTTACAAAAAGATCTTACAGCTACTGTTACTTTTCCCAGTATAGGTTCTGGTATTCTTCCTGCTTTCTTTAATATTAAATCTAATGAACCACCATCCTAAAACATACAGAAAATTAGTTCAAGCAATAAAACGATAGATGACTTGGCTGTAACATTGCATGCATTTAATAATACAATTGTATCTTCCTAAAAAGGCTGCCTCTTGGATCTGTATGCAGAGCTTCAGATACCCTATTGGTCATGCTGATCCAAATATTCTAGAACTGAGTTTTATGTAATGGTGAAATATTACTTAGACACCACAGTAGATGTTTTCAATACAAACATAAGTATGAAATAATAACCTCTTATTTTTATTTACAAAATTACCAGGCTCTATCTCTTAAATATTACGGTACTATGTGCATTAATGTCTTTTTGAAATCTGAAATCCTACTAGCTAACCCTAGAAACTTACCATATATTCCATACAAATACTTATTTCTCCATCACTGTAAAATGCACCATAGAAACCAACAATAAATGGTGAATTACATTCATGTAAAACTTTTAGCTCTCGAATTATCTGTATTCTAACTGCTGGCTTGATTTCTAGATGAATTAACTACAAGAAAACACAGTTCAATATCATTAACTTCTGTTACATATAACATTTCCTGTACTTTTACTGATTGCAGCGTTTTCTATTTGTATACTAGTAAATTAGGTCATAGCCAGTAATAGATAGTATATACACAGTGATTCACATAGCTTGCTTTAGGCAGATATTTAATATTTCTTATATCTACACATTCATTTACAAACATTCTATAGTGGGGGGGGGGGACCAATTAGACTACAGAAAGTCAGAATCTTTGTTGGGAACCAACCAGGCCAGTCAGAATCTTTTGGTGGGTATCAACCAGACCAGTCAGAATCTTTGGTGGGTATCAACCAGACCAGTCAGAATATTTAATAGGGACCAACCAGACGTCAGAATTTTTGGTGGGGACCAACCAGACCAGTCAGAATCTTTGTTAGGGACCAACCAGACCAGTCAGAATCATTAGTGGGCACATACCAGAACAGTCAGAATCTTTGTTGGGGACCAACCAGACCAGTCAGAATCTTTGTAGGCGACCAACCAAACTTGTCAGAATCTTTGTTAGGGACCTACCAGACCAGTATGAATCTGTGGTAGGGACTAACCAGACCAGTCATAATATTTAGTGGTGGACTACTACACCAGTCAGAATCCTTTGTGGGGACCTATGTGACCTGTCAGAATATTTGGTTGGGACAAACAAATCTAACGATTGGAAACAAAGTGTACTAACATGAGCGAAAAACAAATTTAACAGAGCACAGTAAACTTAATCGGGAGACAAACAAATCTAACGGAGCAAAGAGTACTAACACGAGCAACAATCAAATCTAACAGAGCAAAGGTCTTAAACAACTGACAGACAAATCTAACGGATCAAAGTGTACTTAAATAGGCGACAGACAAATCTAAAGGATCAAAGTGTACTTACATGAGCGACAAATAAATATAATGAAGTAGAGTGTTTTTGAAAGGGTGACATACAAATCGAACATAGCAAAGTGTACTATTACGAGTGACAAACAATTATAACGGAACAAAGTGTTCTGTTGCGAGCGACAGAAAATCTAAGGAACAAAGTGTACTTACATGGGCGACAAATACATCTAAAGGAGCAAGCTGCAAAGTGTACCTACACAGGCGACAAATAAATTTAACACATCAAAGTGTACTAACACGAGTGACAAACTATCTAACGGAGCAAAGTGTACTTTATCTACATCTTTATGTTAACATCTGACATTTAAAAGCTTTTAGCATTCTGATACTATCAGGTGATACTGATACATGTACATGTAATAAGACCTGATTGGTGCATTAATCTTGATTTTCAGTCATAATAAGACCTACAAATGTAATGGGATGCGTCAGAACCACAGAAGCAGATCTTTTTGTAAAACTAATGGGATAAATATGCAACATCTAAATATAGAACTGATAGTTCATTATCTGATTAAATACCAACATTAGTGGAAGTCCATTATTTATGGACCAACAATGTTCAGACAGACAGTAAAACTTGCGATTTGGCACATCTCTCAGAATGAGAATAAAAAAAGACTTTTAAACACCAATTTGTTATAATAATCAACTTTCAGTGGAATTTTAAATTATAGTTTCGAATCTTACCTTTCTGGCCATAATTAAACTTGATGGGATGTGTCGAACTTTAAGTACTACTCCTCCATTTCCAGCCCCTAATTCTCCAAGTTTGTCAAAGTCATCAGGAGTTAATTCCCCTACTTGTTGTTTCTGGGTCAGAAACATTTCTAATCTCTCTCTTTGCTGTGTGTTTATATCAAGTTCTTTTAGCTTTAAAGCAAGTGCTTCCATACTTGCGGTACCTGTGTTTGTTGGTTTCCTTTAAAAGTTCAAACATTATTTCAATTCATATTTTAGTCATGAAAAAAAAAAACAAATACCATACATGCCATACAAAGTGTAACCACCATTTGAATACATTTTCCATAATTTGAAATTATTTCAAATATTATACAATTGTTATTCTATTCCCTACCAAATTGTTATTCTATTCCCTATCAAATTGTTATTCTATTCCCTGTCATTCTATTCCCTATCAAATTGTTATTCTATTCCCTACCTAATTGTTATTCTATTCCCTATCAAATTGTTATTCTATTCCCTATCAAATTGTTATTCTATTCCCTATCAAGGAACAAAAACACTACCATTTTTATCATGTTTTACAACATGTATATTATAAGAATTATATGCTGTCAAATATATGTGTAAATACATGCTAACATATATATTTAAAGTTTTATCTGAATGCTATATTTTTTAAAATTCTATTTTCTTTTTTTTATTTTTAAGAGGACTTATCACATGGCATTTAATATAGATGCTATTTGCCAATTAAAACAATTACGTAAATAGCTTAGGAATGATTTCGGAGTTAATTACTATATAGACACCTGGGTACATATACATCATCAGCAGCATGTTCATGATTTTTTTTTTTTTTTAAACCATTGTTTGAACTGAATATTCAATTTTTCTAATTTTATGCCACATTCTGAACACTACTAAGCTTTTCTCTTCTTGTTTTGAAAGAATTTATCCACTTTGAAAATATCCCTTATTTTACTATCCAAACTTGAAAACAAGGCCTGTGTTATTTACACTGATTTCAAAACAAGAAACATTGACAGTGCTGCAGGATAGTCCGATAACACTGTTATTTGTCTGATTAAAAGTAGTGCTAAAACAGTACAGGGAGAACATTGAATCATACATAAGATTTTTATAATAATTGCTTAAAAACATGACTTTTCATTAAATCTTGTTAAAAATAAATATTATGTTACTATATTGATGATATTACAACACTTTGATGAGGACCAGAGTTAACTGTGCTGATGTTCATGATGTTTGACACTTTTTCAGCAAACCTGAGTGTAGATTCAGTAGCACAAAAGCCATCAATTATTTTTTTTGTGTTCTTGAAATTAACAGATAAAGATTTGTAATTATTTTATACAGACTTGCATACTACAACACAAAATGTCTACATGAAAAACTTCTAAATTCTGTGACATTATGATCTATGATTGGTCTAGATCGGTCAGATGGGTCTAATTGAGAAAAAAAAAAGAGGATGAAACAGATAGTAAACATTTGGATGAGATAATGATTGATTAATTTTTGGTGTTTAACGCCATTTTTTGCACACTAGACTATCTCATGACCACCAGTTTTCTATTGGTGGAGGAAGCGGTAACACATGTAGAGAACCACAATGTTCAACAGGAAAACTGGAAATTCTTGTTAATTAAACTCGAAGTCGAACACCCCTTGCCATGAGTGGGGTTTAAACTCAAAACTTAATGTTGACAAGCTAGTGATCACTGTACATAATATACTGTTTTAGAGACCCATATGAGATTACGGAAATAAGTTAAGCGACAAAGTATAATATTTCTTAAGAGACAGATTAAACAACTGAACATACTCAGCATCAACGGTTGGCACTGCCACCGGAGGTGGAGGCGCCGGTGGCTCTGCAGCAACTGGTGGCATTCCATCGCCCGATGTTGACGGAAGTCGAAGCCCTTTCTTGTTTGGCATATTTTAAATGTTTGCAAATATTTTTTACAGTTTAAATGAGCTTAACTGGTCAATGAGCTCAGAGATCAAATGCATTTATAATGCACATTGACAATGTCTATTTAAAATGCGTGAATTTCAGATCTGTCAATCCGATCGATCCAATCATAATTTCAAACAGGAAGTTACGCACGAGCACCTGCTATAGTATTAAACAGTCACATCCGTATTCATACAACGTCATCAGTGAATCATTTATATGACCGCTTACGTGACTTGTAGACTTGCAGTGGCTTTTGGGGTGCACTTCAGATGATTGTATGATTTTTTTTTTAATTTGATTCGGTTCAAAACTGTTATGTATTGTGGTCTCAAAATTACGGGATGATGCAATCCATGTAATGAACTTGTCTCGATTTAAACGGACAAAATATAGTTTTAGATTAATGACACTGAGGTGCTTGATTCTGCACAAAAAATCGTGTGTCAAGCTGGATATCAATAATATAAAGATACTTATATTGTATAAATATTTATCTCATAGCATGATTATTTTAAATATTTTGTCAGAACATGTTAGAAAATGTTTATCAACACATTGATAAATCTTTTATTGGTATCAGAGACATATATAATACCAGAGACATGTTGTATCATATGTCTCTGATAATACAATTACGGAGTTCCATATATGATAATTGATATAGTGCATAGCCTGTTTACAAGTATCACTCCAAACGTTAACCTGCCAATGGGTCCTCCTATTTCAAAGTTCTGGATCTGCACCTGCAGAGTCTATAATAGTTAAGAATGAATTAAACAGAACTGAAAATCAATGACCAAATTCTCAAATAAACCTAGCAGTGGGACTATTATACCATGGAAGTATTATATTGACAATATAATACTTCCATGATTATACTAATATATTATGCAGAATAAACGAAAATAATATTAAGATATGACACAAAAATAGAACAGTTTTAGTAGTGATAAGCCACGACATGAATGCATGTAATGGAGTGTACACTGTAAATTAAAACCAAACCAAATATTATTGTTATATACATATGCATATTCACGATTTTACAATCTGTCGATACCTGTAATTTGGCATTGCACAAGGTCTTGTGTTTCTCTGACTGTTAATGACATCTTTACACTAAATCCATTGGATGTTGGATTTGTACTGATTGATATTTTAGTATTAGATGCATGAATTTTTTTTTATTAGTTGTTACTGGCTTTGAACTAGCTGTCAGTAACTACGAGTACTTAGTGTCTTTTTGTTGTGTGGATGTATAAGTACCCGTCCATGTCCACTCTTTATTTTCGTTAGATGTATTTCTAATTTGTGTATCCATCTGATGAGTTAAGCCTTTTTTCATCTCATTTTTATAGTGTGTTCTTATGTTGTACTGTTACACCACTGTCTCAGGTTAGGGCGAGGTTTTTTTTTGCTCACAAACATGTTTAACCCCGCCACATTCTGTATGTGCCTGTCTAAAGTCATGAGCCTGTAATTAAGTGGTTGTCGTTTATTGCTGTATATCATACTTGTTTTTGTTCATTGCATACACAAGAATCAGGGACAGCTCAGCGGGGGTAACGTTATCAGTGAATAACAAGGGAGCACTTCTGGACTGATAAAATTTAACATTGTTGTATATGGAAAAAACATGACAGTTGCTTTAAAATGATTTGTCAACATTTTATTTCTACAATCAGAAACTATTGCCATGGCAGGTGAAAGAGTTATTAGATTTATCTTTATTTTGATGTAAAAAAAATTTTTTTATGTTATTTAAAAGTGGTGTCCCTAATGATTTGAAAATTTCCCATGAAAAGATACGTTTTTCCTACATAACTTAACCAAATTCAATGATGACGAGTGGTAGTAAAAAATTCCTATAAAATTCATTATTGCAGTGACATTATTTCGCCATGTCCCATGTTATTTTTGTATAATTATTCTTTCTGAAGGTGCAAAAAAAAATATTTTAAGTTTGCATTTGATGGTGTCCCTGGAAGTTTGAATATGGTGATTATTTCGTTATCAAACGTCAATTCATGTATACGTATATTGTAAAGAACTGAAACCGATATCTATACGTACCATATTGGGAAAGACGGAAAATGTTTGATATAAGATAGCGTCGAAACTTTAAAAAAAAAATAATAATATTAATCATTTTTCAATTATTGTTTAAAATAAATTCATGATGACGAAAATGTTAAATTGAATTTTAGTCCCGATTAAAAATTGTTGAAATTTTAAACATTATCCGGATAATTTAGATATATAGATAGAACTTAAACACATTTTGTATGATTAGAAAATTGCTAATGAATTACAAAGAGCTTATTTGCAGTACACATGCACCTAATGACAAAGGAAACAATGTGAATTAATTAACTTGAAATGCAAAGCATTTGTGTATTGCTATTTAAGTGTTGTAGGGTTCGGGAAAATTAATATTAATGATTTAATTGTTTTTCTTTCTCGTAAACACTTATTATGTATAATACATATTTTATTTATTGGAAGGAAAAAGCTATGTACAAGTATCGTTTATTGTGTTCTTATCTTAACCATATTAAGGTGTGAATCTAAACAATAACCACCCGCTGTTTTATCATCTGCCAGCTATTCAATTAATGAAAGATGTAGACCGACATTCATGCTGATTTTGAATATCATTTGACAGTACTAGTTTAATGTACACTTAACGTATAACTCCGTCAACTTCTGTACTCAGGGATGTTTATACATGAACATATATAGCCCCGTCTAGCATGTCTAGTGTGCACGAGAGATTTAACTAAAATTTTGAATGTTGAAATATTGGAATGATTCGTTCATTGTTGAAGACCCTATATCAACTGTCAAGATGTAGAACAGGAATAAAAGCCCTGTTCATTGATAATTTTCTATGTTTTCTATGTATTGTGTGCGATTTTGTCCCATGTACATTTACTCCATATCCTTTTATTTTCTATCCAATATGTTAATTGTGCATCTAGAACATTCAAATGTCCGATGATATATAAAAAAAAAAGACTTATTCAACAGTTAAATTATAATAATAAATCCAAAAACAGTTGGGCACTCTCTTTGACATATCATTTGATATGTGCAACAGGTTTTCTGATATTTCAAAAATAATATTACTTTGCCTTTCAATATCAGTGTAATCATTTCTATCAGACCATACTTTTTCTATGAATGAAGGTAGATGTGGGGTATAAGTAAATGCAGAAGTCATGAACTTCTGGTAAATGAGATAGCAACCCAACCATGCACATAAATAACTTAGACATCTAGAGAGCAAAATATAGCCTTCTCCAAAAGACAGGCTCTTACAGGGCAACTTCAATACTCAACAATAGACATGCCTTTATAAAAATGTCAGGATCTAAATCGCACAGAGTCTATACGTTCAATGTGAATTTAAAAGGTGTTTGCTTACATCCTCGTTTTTCAGTCTCTGGTGGATTGTTTTCTAATATTGACAATAATACTACATCTTCTTATTTTTCTTAAGGTCTGTTATAAACACAAACATTCTCCAAATAACGAAAACAAATAAGATATGAAACACGACAACTACTTACGAGGTCCCCAAATTTTGACAGGTACTAGTACATGTATATGGAAATGTGTTCGAGTTAAACTTACTTTTGTAGGTCTCAACCCTCCCCCTTTTGAATCTCAGTATAGATTAACAGAACGTGCATAAAAGAAAATACAAAACAGACAAGTTCTAGAAAAGAACTTAACTCTGGTTTGTTTAAGTTTATGCCACACATCTTATTTTTGGTACGTAAATTTGCTATCATATGCCTTTTTTCACAGTTAATCGTCTAAGTTCCAATTCGCCTCCTATTAGTGTCTATATAAAAATGATTGTCCCACATGAGTGCATATTAAATATTTTTGAAAATCTATTTTGCCGGGTTATGTGATTACAAAATTATTTTGGATAGACATGTATTGTTTATAGATATAAGAAGATGTGGTATGAGTGCCAATGAGACAAATTTCCATCCAAGTCAAAATTTATAAAAGTAAACCATTATAGGTCACAGTACGGTCTTCAACACGGAGCCTTGGCTCACACCGAACAGTAAGCTATAAAGGGCCGTCTAAAATTCAAAGAATCCTCATACAATGGCTGTATAAAAAGTTGTATATAGCAGACCTATAATGCTTTTTTATGAACTTTTTTAGCGATTTTGCAGGTTAATATATATGAAAACATTTGTTATCTTCAACAATATGAATTGCTTTTTAAACTTGCCCGAGGAAGACGGAAAACGATCCCGGATACACATGTGAAGATGAAGCTCTATAGTTTATTGAAAAATTTAAATTCACACCGCATATGTTTTCGAAATTTATGACTGAGTTTCATATGAAATTGTATTGTGTCTGGTTTTTGCATATTACTCCCATCTTTTCTTTTCAATATGGGTTTATGTTAAGAATAAACATCATTATCTAACGGTTATACAGATACAGCGAAAATTGACACGAAGTAGGCAAATATTTCCAAAAATAGGAATTATACCAACCTGTATGTATTTCACACTAGTAAAAAAAGAAGAAAAAACGTGAGATTGCCTTTAAATTTACCTCTTTAAAATTATTGTAGCCTTAAAATTGTCAAAACTTATCAAATCGACTTTCTAAAATTCACAGGTTTAGTCTTTTTTACCCAAATCTTCTGAAAAGCGTCTCAAAATCGAAAAATGGATTTTTTAAGATTAGAAAAAAAAACCACCGCTATTTTAACTAGTTGCGATTTTAGTCTCTTTTTTTTAACTATGTTAGAACATAAATCAGGCCATTGTTTTTCTCTTTTAAATGATTTCTCATTTTTTCATACCGGGGCATTTTATAACATAACTTTTTATAAATGTATAACTGGGTTTACTCATTGTTGAATGACGTATACAGTGTCCTATAGTAACTGTTGATAACATCCTCGTATTTTGTTCTTTCAATTGACGGAAAGTTTTCATCATACCACAACTTTTTATTTATAAGCCAATATATCCATTTGTTGAATTAAGATGATACATTTCAAATGTAGGACATAAAAGCCCCGGACACGAAGATGGTACCAGAAAAAAGTCAGGTTAGAGATAGTTTGTCTCTGATTTACAATGTGAAAAACTTATTTCA